CCCCCAGCCGCTCCATGGGGTAGACGGTTTTCTGGCAGGCGGTGCACATCTCCTTCACCTGCGCCTTCAGGCTGAAGGACTGGGCGAGAGGAGATCAAAAGAAGAGAGGATGAGGAAGGGGGTTGAGGTATCTTGTGCCCGCTTCTGCAGTATTGGTGCTGCCGTTTGCAGGAGCACTGGTTAGAATGAAGTTCCCTGTCCCCCTCCACTGATGCTGGGCAAGATGGGGGCTTGGGCTTTAGGCTTTCAGTCCTCCCCCTGCCTTGCCCTGCATCAGGAAGATGTGAAAAAATTGCAGGTACCTTGGAGCGCTGCACTGTGCTGCCTCCTGAGTTGTTCTTTGCCTCCTAAGAAGGGAAGGAGAAGAGAAATCAAAATGAGAGCTCATACTGAGAGTTGTGCTTTGGGAGGAGCAGCTGAGCCGTGGGACTTTGGGGCACACCGGCAGCCTCTGCCTGGCTGTCACGGGCATGTGGCAACCATCTCTGGCAGGTCCTTGTGTGCGAGTTACTTTCCGTGCTGGGGTACTTTTCCCAGCCAGAGGAGAGAAGGAAGACAGGAAAACAGAAAAAGAGGAATAAACCATTTACATATTGCAGAGAGGCAACTGGGCCACCAGCAGGCTGCGGGGCTTGCCCAGAGCCGTGGGGCAGAACAGCCAGCTCTCATCCAGCACTGCTCACTGAGGCCTCTGTCTTGCACTCAGGAGCATGTGATGGCTTTGTTTCTTCTATGGCCAAGGTTTAGGTGACCTCTTCTGTTGTGGTAGCAGCCAAGCACAGATCCAGGAGCTGTCACAGCATAGGCAGTGCAGAGCACAAGCCCAGGGTGACAGGTCTCCTACTGCTGAGCAGCTCTCACCATCTGCAGGCAGTGATTACTGTCCTTGGATACTCAGTGCAGCCACCAGGCGAGTCTTGGGACCCCCCAGGAATAACAACAAAGCAAAGGAGCCCTGTCCCCATGTCCCTGGGGAAATAGCTTGGGCCTGAGGCGGGCAGAGATGGGGAAAGGGCTTTGCTGAGCTGCTGCAGCACAAGCCCCTGGCAAAGCCCACCCTGTGACCCGCCCCGGCACATCATCAGTGCTGCCTCATGAATCTACTGCCAGCAGCTCTGCTTTGGGGTGAGGTGCTGCTCCTGCTCTTTCTGGCTGGCAATCAGGGCTGGAAAGGGATAATTAACGCTTCTCTTGCTGGAGGTGCCCAGGGCTCTAGTAATGCTGCCTGTAGTCAGAGGGTGGCAAACACCAGTACCCCCAGGGCATAACTGGGGTGCCCCTTGCTCTCATGGAGCGCATTGTGCTGCTTCCCCTTTAGCTGATGTTTTATTTCCGAGTTCCTCTGCCAGCCCCGTTATCAGCCCGTTGCACTGCGCAGGAAACGCCTGTACTGGGCGAGATCGAAAAGCCCCGAGTGGCCGCGGGGTCCATCTGTGTCCATGTGGAGGGCAGGAGGGGCACGGTCAGAGTTGAAGACGTGCTCCGTGGCTTTCGTTCAGCAGCTTGGCGGGGGCGGATGCTGCTCGCACCCTGCAGCTGCAGGAGGAGGACAGGGCAGAGAAATCTGAACAGTGAGGTGTCTTGTCCCTCTGCCCCCAGGGTCTCGGAGCTCTGCACGCTCTCCGGTCTGCAGCTGCAACAACTCCTCTCCTCCCAAATCACCTCCCGCTCCCCGACCTCGCTTGCCCCACCACGCAGCCCCACAGCCCTGCACTCTCCCCAAGCCAGCTGTTAGCGCAGGCACCCGCTGGGTCGCAGTCAGCCACCTGCAAGAATTTTACCCTGCTTTTGCACTGACAAAAATGCTCCCTTCTTCTTTCAAACCGTCAGGATCCAAGGGGTAAAGGCACTTGTAGCAAGGTGGAGCAGCCAGGACTGCTTTACCACAGCCCCGCTCACCCTCTGCACTGTCTGTTCCCAAGGCTGGGGCAGAGTGACCCCAGAACATCACCCCATTGCCCCCTTGTCCTTCCTTCTGCCACTGCTTTGGCTCTGCCTGGCCTGCACTGCCCCTTTTCGCTGCCCCCAGGCTGAGCTTCCATCCCCGTTCCTCTTGCTTTGTCCCTCCTCATCGTTTCTCCTTTGTATTTTTGGAAACAGTTTGTCCAAGAAACGCACAGGAAACTCTCACTTCGCTGAGCTGCTTCTTCAGACGTTTCCCAGCTGCTCTCGTTGACTGAGGTCAGGGACGTGATTTTCCTCTCACTCCCACAAGGCTGGAAGAGCGAAGCCAAAGTCAACAGAGGGACATGGGCAGCAGGGAGACTCAGGCCGTGTAAAACCAGTTGCATCCCTCGGCGCTGGTAAAACAACCGCAGGTGCTCTCCTGGGGTTAGGATTTAACAGACTGTTTCTAGGCTCAGCTGACCAGAGCTAAGGAAAACGCTGCGTCTCTGGAGCTGGAATACATCCGTTCCCAAGGCTATAGGCAACCCACCACCGCTCGTCACTTCTCGGCAGCCTTCTGGCTCGGATCAGGCACACTATCTATTTCATATCTGATATATCCTCCCTCGGGGAGGGCCCATATCCTGTCCCAGCAGGAGATGTTCTTGAGCCTTTGTGTTTTTCCATCTCCGATCCCTCCAATCCGAAGGAGCTCGCATGCTCTCAGTTGTGATCACGGAAAGCCATGGAAACACAAACAAACAGACGGCAACTCGAGAGGAGAGCGGGGTGAGCAGCTCTGTATGGACCAGAGCCTGGGCCCTGGCCTCGCCGTGTGCTCAGCAAACAGCACCTTCTGCTGGAACATTCCTGTCCCCAGTCGCGTTGTTTGAGGAGCAGCAACTATGCCTTTGATCACCCTAAAGCGTCAGGTCTGGAACACAGCTTCTGTACACAACCCTCCATCCCCGAGAACCAAACCCTGGGTTGGAATTCCAGTGCGAACCGCAGCGGATGCTACGTACATGAGTTGGGGGTGGGCTGGCAGCTCCCGTAGCCTGGAACATGGTTCCTTCCCCTCCTCCGTCTCTTTAATCCTGAGCTTGAAGTTTGTGGGCCGCTGTTCCCTGGGGAGGTGTCTAAGACAGACCTCTTCTTGCAACACCTGGAAGGGAAATGTCAACAGGAGCATGGCTGGTTCCATCACCCCGAACCCGGCAGCTGGGCGGCTCTGCAGGAGCTGGTGCGTGACAGCGGCGTGCTCAGAGCTTCCCCCGGGGGGTCAGTGCAGCCTCTTTGGTGTGGGGATTTCTTGAGGGATCCAAGAGATTTAGGCACACCAGACTGGACTGCTGGACGGGAGATACAGGGCTGGAATCCTGCTCAGTTTTAGGAAGCAGGGCACTGAGCTAGAGCTCAGGAGCTCTAGTCCTGTACGAAGGTATTGGGCCAGGATGGGAGAGGGCTGCTGGAAGCGTGAGCAGGAGGAGATGTGATGGCTTCTGCTCCAAACCCACGCGTGGAAGGCAATTGCCAGGCAACAGCGGGAAAGTGATTTGCGGGACAACAGCCAAGGTGTTTGCGGCGAGGCTGCGTCGCAGCAAGAGCGGCTGTCCTGCCGAGGCACTGAAACCAGCACCCCATGTTTCGCTAATGTAGCCACTGAGGGACTGGCATTGCTGGAGCGAGGACTGTGATTTCAGTCTAATTTTAGCCCAGAAAAGCCTCACCGAGCAGAGCAGATCACAGCTCAGCAGAGCGAGTGATGGGGATTTTGTTTTCTGTGGGAGCCGGCATTGCCTTTAGGCTGAGACCCGTAAGCTGCGGCCTCTGCGCCGTGTGCGGAGAACCCAGGAGGATGAGTTTGACAGGTTTTGGACCAGTTTTAATGCAGCACAGAAAAAACCCCACCAGCATTGCAAATCACCTCTTTTGGTAAAAATGAGCTGAAAAGGTACTGACAGATCCTCAGGGGATTTTCCCCCTTGGGTCTTACCTTCAAAACACCCATAAAAGGTCAGGCTTGATGAGCCCTGATTTGCATATGCAAGACAAAGATGTGGGACTGAGCAAATGGTGCGGAGGGAGGAGCAGAGCGAGGAACAGGAGGGTGAAGGGGTGGCTGCGTGGCTCTGCCATGATGCGGGTGTGCTGGGGGGCTGGCAAACCAACCCCCCACCTCCTGTC